AAGCTACATTGTATCATGTAGAAAACAAGATGGGTTGGGATGGATGTCTATGAATGTATACATGTTTATGTATACATGCATGGATTCATGATTGGATAGATAGATATCTCAAGTAAGTGATATTCACAATTTACTGAAGATGTAGATAATTTCATTAACTAGACAGATAACTGTACTTATGTTTTATTATTTTTCTAGGTACTGTTTCCTCATATACATGAGGAAACATTCACTTTACATGAATGGTTCCAAAATCAGTCTCATTATAAGAAAATTTATGAACACTTAGTGAATCGTGATTTCCTTTATTGACCTTTTAGATGTCAACAGTGAAAACGAGGATCTTGGAACCCTGCTGATTGAAGCTCTCCATTACTGGGATGCTACAGTCATAAATTATGTTTTGGCCTCATTGCCAATAAGGAATTTCAGTTTAACCTGTGTGACTAATTAGTCCATTCACTCTCAATAGCTGGGCCAAAGATTTATTTTAACACCATTAAAAAGCCTGAATTTGCATTTGTAAACATCTGTCAGTATTTAATTTGGGAATAGCCTAAATCACTTCAAAACTTGATTTGTCCAAAACCAGAGCAAGCAGAGTGGAGACATTGGACCACCCCATTCTCTAGTTTCTTTCTCAGCTCCTGTGCTTTAACGCCTATAGTATTTGGAGGTCTAATACCTCCAAATTCTGATTATTGAGAACAGATTTTTAAGATATCTTTCTGAAAGTTTAAACTTTTGACTTAACTCTCAGAATTTCTTTTGCTGAAATTAAAAATGCAGTATGAGAATAAAAGCCAACAGTAGTACAAAGAAATTAGAAAAGAGACATGTTGTTTTATTTAAAAGTTGATAACTCAGTTTCATGTTTTCTTATACCACATTTCTTACTTGAGTATTTTATTGTGTTATATAAATAAGCTGAAAAAACATTGCTTATAATTACACATGCTCTTTCTCTTTTCCTGAAAATGCATTTATCTCCAACACTATGCACATGTTTCTACATACTGTGGGCTTGGCTTGTTAAGCTAACTAGAGTCAAATGTACACAAAATGAGTTTTAAGTAAGCCTCTTTACCATGCTGGAGTCTCTTAATGCAACCCCACATTCACTGTTCTGTAATTATTGCACACATTTTAAGCAGCTGAAAATTTTTTGAAGAAATTGAATAGCTTTCAAGTCTGTCTTTTCCTCAAGCATAGAGATGATCTATGGTCATTTTTTTGTAATAGCCTTGGGTGTCACTTGGGAATGAACATTAAAGAAATGTGAAAGCTGCCTGTTTTCAGGGATGTATAAGCTTTGCCCTAAATATTCATGAATGTTGGAGCTCACATATTCAAATGGGGTAAATGAGTATACAAATGGGTAGCTTGTTGCTCTTGTGTTAGCAAGTGCTTAGCTATGGCTCTCTAAAAGCAGCTACTCCACCTGCATTCTTCATAAGGTATATGTGCAGATCTATATATTATAATTGATAATGCACATTCTTCAACTTTTAGTTAAGAGAGAACATAAATACAAACATTTTAGAATCAATGAAGGATTGTATTTGCACAGCTGGAATTTGCCCTTTACCTCACAATTCTTTTGTTGTTCTGCTTGATGTTTCTTGTATGTGTCCCTTTACTGATAGGGGTTAATGCTCAGCACAGCCATGTATCATGAAAATGACATCTAGAAATGTTTTTGTTCTCTGCAGGGACATAAAATTTATTCACTCATTCAGCATATACATACATTTATCCACAAAAACACTTGAATGGTACTTTACTGTTCTTTAATGACAAGTAATGTGTTCAATGCAAATGATGGGGCAGGGAAGACTCCCTGTGAGAAGGGGAATGTTACAGTTTATAAACTATCAAGTAGTCTCCTCTGATATCATTAATTATTAGATAAATTGCGATAATTTTTTCTGACTACATTTTCTCCTAATTCTATATATTGGTGTTCACCAGCAGAACATGACGCATCAAGTTTTGATCCTTTTTATTCACACATTCTATGTTGTTTGTCTAAAGGTATGGAGACTGCATTTTGTAGACATTTGAAACAGGAATAGACATGTGCTATGCTCAGGCACAGACACAGCTCTATTATGGAACATCAAAATGCTTCTTTGACTTGTGAATGTTTAAATGTACAGTTAGAGAGAGTTATCTAAATGGACTGCTACATAAAGTTAATGCTCTTGCTTGATAGCCATTCTGTCTCTTACAGCGGGTTGTCTCTGTCTTAAAAGAGTTATAAACATCAAGCATAGTCTACTAAAGAAGAGAATTGATGAATGTGACATATTTGAGGTTTTTAAATATCACACACTCAACATTAAGTCACAGAAAGGCAGCTCCAAGCAGATTGAATTAAATTTCAATTACAGAGCTTTAGTTAGAAAATTGTTAGGTTAAATCCCCTCCTGAATGAAATTTAATTTTTTTCCTTCTTTTAGCTGCTTCTGGATTTTTCACACCATAGAGGTTTCAGCCAAGACATCTATTAACTTGAGATTCTTACTCACAAAAATATTGATTGTTTTTAGTTTTTAATGAAAAAAATACACATATAACAATCAAGGATATACATGCTTTATAGCAGGAAATTACATTAAAACCTAAAGTATAGTTTTATAAAAGAGTTAGATGTGTCTGGTGATTTATTTTATCTTAAAAGTTCTAAATAAAATAATATTATGTGACTTTAATATTTTACATATAGTGTTTTATGAAAAATTACAACATTTTCTGCTTAAAGCAGAATGATCCCTAGAGAAAAATAGCTTTAAGTAGGTTGGTGCTCATTATCTAAGCAACTAGCTAGAATAAAATATTTTCTAATGACTTGTACATTGTGGCCATAAATTTGTTTTAACAAGCAATCCTCCTCATTTGTTCTTGATGTTTGCCAAAGTCAGTTTGAACTGAGACTGTAAAAGATGGAAGTATAAAAGCTACCTAGTATAACTTTCAAATTTAAATATAATTGCAAACATAAATCTTCCAGTTGAAATATAGTTTGTACAACTTTCAGTTAAAATCTAAAACTTTACTATCTAAAAAGTATAGCTCAATATTATTTGCATGAAACAGTTCCACCTTTATGAAATATTAAAGCTTTTGTTGTTAACGTTGGAAAATCTCATTAACAATTGCAAAGTGATTATATCCCAAGTACTTTTCATTGCTGTTTACTCCTTACAAATAATATCTGTCCTACTCGTTATTTTTGCAGATAAGAAAAACATAGTCTGTTTATATTTCAGTAGCAGAGTTCCTTAGTTTTAGCACCTTTGATGATTCTTGCTTAATATAGAGAATATTTTAGACCATTTCACAACCCTCTGGGTGAGAATAAAAGCTTCCTCTTAGATGTTAGTTAGCCATAGGAAAAAGCCCAGTATCTGCTCTGAGATATAATGGATTAATTGGTCTGAAGGACCCCTAATTTTATGTCATGCTACCATATAACCCACATAGATGATATGCTGCAAAATGAACTCATGCCAAAAGCCAGATGGGTCTTTGGTGAACATCTCTCATATTAATGAGAATGAATTGCTGTGCACGTCATAGGCTGATGGCTTTCTCTCTGAAAAAAACTATGATTCTGGAAAATCTGACATTTTTAACTTCCTTGTAGAAAATGACACCAGGAGAATACATGAATCTAGAAACACTTTAAGGATTAAGAGCAAAACCCAAAATGTCTCCACGTCCACATTTAAGCATAAAGACTCATATTAATTTTAAAGTATATTGGGAATAGACTCTGTTTTGTGAACTAAAGATTCTGTATTTGAAGATTTTCAAGTCTTTGTCATTAAAGTGCCCCTGCTCCTTGTCTCCAGTTTTCTTAAAATTAGTTTTAAATCTTTATTTCTTGCAATATTGTGGCTCTCTATTGACTTTATCTCTTGCCATGTTTTTCCAATTCCTGTTAAATGACTGTATCCGTTTGCTCTCAAGCATTTTGTAAATAGCCCAGGTCTCCTGAACTTTCTGCAAATACAAGGGCATCTCATTCTTGCACCACAGATTTGATGTTTTACTTTAGCATTAGCCAACCCTGATACAAAACTTCACAAATCCTATGCAATAGCTCCTCTGAGTTTATTACTGCTCACAAGCGGCAGTAAAGAACAACCTTTGATGCTTGCCACTGTGTTGATTATGTGACTAACTGCTAGGATTTACACACTGATCTTTATTACAGTGACAGTTATCTTTTTGGCTGTAAGTGCAGCGAAGCAACTATAATGTCACAGAGGAAATGGTCACCTCCACCAGGCTACTCTGCACACACTTTTAATTACGATGAAACCTTGACGATGGAAAGGACAATGAGAAAGCAGCTTCTGCTCTCTGAACATTGCAAAAATGATATTTGTGTATAAAATTTTAAAAACTGAAAAATATTTTCAATGTATCTGCTTCATTTCTGCACCTAGAAAATGAAACCACATATCTAATTTTCTACATAATCTGTGTTTTCCAGTGATGACAAACTACATCTTGAATCTTTACCAAGCTACCTGTTCACAAATGTACAGAAGTTATAGCTGTTCTGCTTCAGGAAGCAAAGCACAAGTGCTGCATAAAGCCTACTGGTGCATATGTTGTAGCTCTCCAGGGCTGTAATCAATCTCAATACTTCTGTTTCTGCCAGGTTGTTTTAAACATCTGCATGCTTTTGTGTTCAGCCTCACATTGTAGCTGGATGGCTGGGTGTCTACCAAATGTAGATCACCATTTCTATGTCTTCATGCAAAATAAGTTGTAATCCAGATCTCACAATCATGGAGAAATTTCCAGGAGAGATCTAAAATATGTTGTGAATATAAGCTCAGTGTCTCATATCTCAAGGAAGGAAAATAATGAATTCGGTTTCTCAACTTATAATGTAAGCACAAACTGTGTTTCACTTGTAAATAAAATGGAACATACCACTTTAGACACTTTTAATTAACCTGCTGACTGTGATTCCCTTGCAGACAACGGATGATATCCTTGTGGCCTCGGCAGAGTGTCCCAGCGATGATGAGGACATTGACCCCTGTGAGCCGAGCTCAGGTGGGTTAGGTTAGTCGATTTTTTTTTCTTACTTCCTTGCCTTTACTGTAAATCTTTGTTGCATGTTATATTCCTTGGAAGAGATGTCCACTTATGTGTTTAGGACACCTCAATATAAAATGGCACATTATTCAATGGGTTTTTGTTTGGACTTGAGGGGAATATATGCTGATAATCTTGAAGGTAGAAGCAGGAAGATAAGGATTTCAAAGCCATCCTAGGCTGCATAGGGAGATAAAGTCCAAATAGACTATAGAAAATTCTGTCCGAGGGGGTGGTGGGGGATGGGGTAAGGGGACAACATAGGAAATGTAAATAAATCATCCAATAAAAAAAAAGAAAAAAAAAGAAAAAAAAACAACAAAAAAAAGAAAGAAAATTCTGTCACAAAAAATTAAAAATCAACCAATAAACAACAAACAAAATATGATCCAGCAAACCTTTGCCTTTCAGTTATAAACATTTTTGCACTCTAAAAAAATGTAAAAGAAAAAACAAAACAAAAAACCACCAAAATTAGTTATTTAGCTGGATGGTGATGCCACTTACCTTTAAGGCCAGTACTTTGGAGGCAGAGGCAGGTGGATCTCTTTGAGTTCAAGACCAGCCTGGTCCACAGAGAGAGTTTTAGAACATCCAGCGCTACACAGAGAAACCGTGGTTTTAAAAACAAAAATAAACAAACAGAATAGATATTTTAGAGAAGGCAACGTGTAAGGAAGTTGCACAGTGAGGATTTACTGTTCACATTCCAATAGCTCCCTGGGTCACCTTTGCATACAGTTTACAATGGACTTTCCCTGTGGTCATTTGCAGTGAAACTAGAAAGCTAAAACTTTGCAGTCAGTGAATTGTAAAGAATCACATGACTTTTGAACTGAAAAGTGTTCCCATGATTCAATCTGATGGAAAATTATCTAAAGTAATATATTTCCAAATTTTGGATGTTGGAGTATTGTGGCCATAGCAAAACAAACAAGAGTTAATGTCCTTGACAGATTTAAAAGAGATATTTGAATCTTGCCATGTTTCTCCAAAGCTTATACCACATTTTGCCAATAAAAAATTTTTAGTTTCTCCATTGGGACATTTTTGCAACTCAGCTGATGAAGATGACATATCACTTTTATTTCCATTGAACAACACAAGCTAGTGGACCCTAAAGATGAATTAATCACAGCACGTTCCCACTGAACACTTAGAGTTGTAGATTTATGCACTAATGTAGTGATATTTTGATTCCCATGTGTGTGTTAACAGAACTACTGTAAGAGATGTGACCTTCAATAGATTCACAGAACTTGTCTCAGTAACAAAATTAATTTCTATTCTCTTGTTTCATTCGTGTGTGTGTGTGTGTGTGTGTGTGCGTGTGTGTGTGTGTGTGTAGTGGCATATTTTCCCCACAAGCTGGGAGGAGCTAAGGTGAGAGGGGTAAGGAGAAGAAGAGGAGAAGGAAGAGGATGAGCTAGGGGAGAGAGGACTGGAGAGAGGGAAACATGGAAGCAGATATGCGCAGGTCTCTAGCAGTCAAAGGTAGTTGATATATCTAGGTTGGGTATTGGATTACAGCTCTAATTGTGTGGACATCTTGTTATTGAGCATTACCACACAATAAAGCCTTTGGATAATTTAAGCATTAGAGTGTCATTTCTTTTTTTTTAACATTTTAACATTTAATAGAAACTATATACAGTAATTTCACTATATCTTACATGGAGGAGCCACCACAGACATTTACATAAGTTAAAAGCAAGAATAATTAAGGAGAGCCCAGAGCTGTGAGCTGCTTTTCTCAGTCACAGGTCACTAGGAAATGGGGTTTATATTGCCCAGTTACATGGAGCAAAGAGAAGGTTTAGATACAGGCCTTTAGATACAGCTAGCCAGACACTAAGAGCCAACACCTGAAGAGCACCATTCTTGACCACCACCCCGCCCAGACATCCATGTGGATTTCTGTCCATGGCTTAGAAGTCCCCTGACAGAAAGGTCTCTTTCCTGGGCAGTCTCCAGTATGCATTGCATCCCAAAGGCAGGGATCACCTCATGCTCTTCCTTGCAAAAAATCCCAGAACTTAAATACTAAATAAATATCCATTCTGCACAAATCTGGGTTATGTTTGTCTATAGCACTCTAAAGCCCCGAAGGAAACAATGTGGTCTGAGCTGTCTCTGTTCATTCAGTGAGAGATGATCAAAGATACGCTTGTCTGAAGAATGCAAAGTTCAAATCCAAAGGCAAACAATTCCCAAATGAACTGTCAACTGATAGGAGTGGGTTCTGCTTTTCCATTTGCAGTAGCCAGTCCACGCTGAGGGAATGGCGCACAGGCTTTCTCTGCCTTCCGAGTGTCATTTCTACCGGATTCTGTGTAGATGGCCGGATGGTCTGAGCTCAGCCCAACCTTGTGGAGACAGCATGGAAAATTAGTAGAGCCATCTCCCATGCTGACATCTCATAGGTGGTAGGGCCAGTGTCTCTGGTCACCTGAGCTGGCGGCCTGAGCCGCGGCATGCATATATATATATATATGCATTTTTAAGTTAGTCCAATCATTTTTAAATGTGAAATATTTGGGGATGCATAGGCCTGAGTGTCACGTAGAGCACTGCCATTACCAGCTGCACATACTTTGAGTAGCTTCCATCAAGGGGAGTGGGGTCCAGTCCATTCTCAGTGCAGTGTAGGGGAGTGGGCCCCAGTCCATTCTCAGTACAGCTCAACTGGAGACCATCTTGCTTGCCTCAACCCTCCTTCTCAGCAGATTGCTTCCCACAGGACTCTCAGCCCCAGAATAGTCTGTCACATGTAACTCTTCCATCTCTGGCGACCATTGACTCAACTCTATCTCCTTGATCTGGATTATATAATCAGGTCATCATCCTGGGCTGCAAGGTAAAGGTCCTGCCTTTTGTTTTTTCCTTCCTATTCTCTTTAGTTAAAAGTTCAGGACATCATCATCCTCATTTATCTCACTTCTGAATCTTCTGTCATAGATTATTTCAAAGACAAACTCTAAACTTCGTGTGTTTATAAGAATTTGATTTCCCTTCATAATTTTGAAGACAGTCATCTTTTTCTGCATCTATACTTTATTTCAATAGTAATGAGAACTTTATAGGTGTTGACTGATTGTGGTGCTTGCTGATTTTCCTCTGGCTGAATCCCTCTTCTGTTGAGTATCAGAGATCATCCTCTTTAGACCAAACCTTTACCTTAAGTGCCAAGTAAATCCAGTGTTAGTAGGACTTTAATTACACTTGAAACTGGCATTTTTTCTTCTTGAGCAAAATGCACCAGCTGCTCCAGCATTGTTTACAGGACCTATAAAACACTCCTTAGCAACTACTCTATGATGTCTGTATTCCTCTGGGTACAGTGGACCTAAGAGCTAGAATACTGGAAATAATCCTTTAATCTTCCCTTCTCTGAGTTTAATTCAAAAGATGTGCCTTTAGTGTTTCCAATTGTGAACATGTGAATATAAGTGCAAGTTCCCAAGGACATAGGAGATATCAGATCCCCTTGCAACTGAGCTACAGGCCATTGGCTGCTGTCCTACATGGATGCTATGTACTGAACATGAGTTCTCTGCAAAAGCACATCTTCTTAACCACTATTAAGAACCTCCAGCACTTAATCCTTCTTTTAATTCATCTGACTTTTGCTACTTTATTAAAAGTCCAAAGTAATAGGAAGCACCTAGTATCTTGTCAACATCTGTGCTCCAGATGGTCTTGCTGTCATCTCTTTCCTGAATTTAAGATTAACTAAAGAACCTTCAGTACCTGCCTACTAGTAGTTTGCCAATGTATATCTGTATCCTCACCCATAAAAAGGCAACAGCATGTTGCAGGAACATGTAAGGGTGCATACCTCCATAAAGTACATTTTCTATACGTTTATATACTTTTCTAATATGCTATATTCTGCCCAAAATAGAAGACTCAGAACTACTGGTTCTGTCCAATAATGACTATTTTAATTTGTGTGTGTGTGTGTGTGTGTGTGTGTGTGTTTGCTTGGCCATGGAGACAAGAGGAAGATAGTAGGTATCCTTCTCTATGCTGTCCTTCTCTGCCTTATTCCTACGAGACAAGTTTTCTCACTGAACCTAGAGCTTGTAATGCATTTTGTCTATGCTGGCTGGGTAAGCAGTTCTCAGGTTCTGCCTGTCTCTATCCCACCAACACTGGGGTTCCAGGTATTCAAGGTCATCTTATAATTTTTTTCTGTAACAGAAATAAATACATGCAAACACATACATACATACACACACACACACACACACACACACACTATATAAAAAAAAAAAAAAAAAAAAAAAAAAAAAAAAAAAAAAAAAAAAAGTATATATACCCTGACTTGTGTTGTGTAGGCCTAAAACTCACAAAAATTTGTCTGTCTCTATGTTTGTAGTTTTGGGTCTAAAGGTATAAATCACCAGACCCGGTGGTCAGGGCTTCTTTTTTTAATGTGGGTCCTAGAAATTTGACATGGGGTCCTCATGCTTGTACAATGTGCTTTCTGACCCAATGAGCCATCTTTCCCATTCAACTCTTTGATTTTCTTCCTGATTCTTCTTTAATATGTGTAATATTGTGCCTGTAGCAATATTGTATAATAGCATAAATTAAATGTTTCAGTTTATATTATTTTGTGTTCTTTCCAGCTATTATTAAGAAAAGTCATCTGTTTTCTTGACCCTGCTTTAATCTGAATATTGTTCCTCTGAGACCCTGCTTTTACAGGCTCTTAAAATAAATGTCCCATTTCCTTATGTCTCTTTTCTGTTGTTGTCCTTATATTAATACATAATAATGTTGGTGGTAATTGTAATGGCTAATACCATGAGATTTGGGTTACGGTTAGACATGCTTAGGTAAAAGTCCTTTCACATATAAGCAAGCCAAACTTTGGGTAAGCAGGTCTTTAGAACACAAACATATTAAAGTAGATATCAAAGATAAGCACCTGTCTGACATCCATCAATAATCCCCTGAGC